TAAAAATGGGTAAAAATTTAGGGGAGAGATTCTATAAGACATAGTGTGTCACATTGTATTGTGTTCCAATATAATCACATATGACAATATATCTATTTATTACGCATTTACATTTTTATGTTTTACTTGTGAGTCAGAAACAAGACACAAACTATCCACTGCTGTCTTATGTGTTATATATAAACTTTTTTTAAATCTAATAGGGGATCCGCCCGCAAAAATTATGCTATACAAATCGTGAATAACTAATCATAAAAAACCTAATAATGTAATAATATTGAAATAAATGAGTGAAAAGATACGGAGAAGCGTTTGAAGACAGATTCATCAATCAAGGTTAGGAGAAAGGGGAAGCCAGGGGGAGAGTCAGACATCATAAACAGATATATACAGTCTGTGGGCTGTCAGCGTAGCACGAGGCCCCAATTTTTGAAATCGTTCGCTACCGTCTGGGCTTCCTTTCAATATCAATATTTAATGTTAAGGGAAAAGCGGGCCCTCCGGGGACTCTAGGGTTTGTTGATTAATTAGCAGTTTGCCTCAATTAGAAGCCATAACTGATGTAAGATGGATGGAGATCTCTCCCTACCCTTCCTGCAATATTATATTGTCTTGAGAACTCTCCCCAGACACAGAACACCCTTTATTAGCCGAACGGAGAGAACAAATTAGCCTCTGGAAATATTGACGCCGAGTAACCGCAACAAACTCATATAACTTGGCACACGATAAATTTCCATAACCGTCTAACATCTCTAACAAATTATCGAAGAAATAAACATAAGTTCGCCGGCGAAAGGCCACACGACCTTAATAACTAATCTTCCTTAGGGGGCTTACAATTGCTTTCAACTTTGTCTTCTTCCAAAAAGAGACCCAACTCCCCAATAACGGACCTCCATTATATCTTCCAACACCAATAAAGGCGGTACCACAGATATTCACTTTCACCTTAAATAGAATTTTTCTAGTAATTTGATAATAACATATTCAAATTATTATATAATAAGTGTCTTTTAAAAATTATTTCATGATGAATGTATTGAATTAATTTATTAATCGTTTTTTTCGAAAAATGTACCCTTAAGTCTAGTTATGGTTAGTTAGTTATTAAAATCTAGTTATCCACCATTTTAAGCCATAAAATATATAATATTTTAAGTCCCTTTAGATCGACATGTTTTCTATGTTCAATTCCTTTTAATTACGTTCAAATTAGTCTCATGTCACTCATAATAGAATATTAATATAGAGATTTCATCGTAGTGAGAAATAGAAATATGAGTTCTTAGTGTTGGACTCTTAATAAAACCCAGGGATGCCGATTCGGCAATTTACATCTTCTTTACCCTTCAATAATTGAGGTTTTTCCCTTTGGAGGCTAAGGATAAAGGCAAACAGCAATAAAGGCCGTGCAAAGAGCTCAAACAATTGTTTTCAGACGGGGAGAATAGATTAGAAAACCCTTCCCCGGTCAGCGAGGATCCCCTGAGCTTCCTTCCGGTAGAAAATTAAAAGAATTCCCTTTTTAATACGAGTGACTTTAATTCCCGTAAAGATTAGGGGAACCGGAGAGTGGACTTGAGAGCAAATCCCGGGAGCTTTGCCGTACTTCTGTACGGTTGACTTAATAACGAAGCACGAAAGCTTTCTTCATTCCATCGGGTAAATAAAGAATTGTCATCGATATCATACTGATCTCTCACCTAAACAATGCACAAAAATCTCCCTAAGTCAACAGAACACATTAATAAAATAATCACATACACAAGTGTGTACATAAAAAAATAATTAAAAAAGAGCAGTGTAATATTACTTCATGATCGAATTGATTAAATCAACTGGTTTAATTTTTAATTGATTTTTATTGATAAATGAAGACACAGTTTTTCTTTCAGAATATTATAAGACAAGTGATATTTATTGACAAAAGTAAGGATACTCCCGGGTAGATTGGTATAACCGGGAACGAATACTAGATAAGGCAGCGAAGATTACCACGACGAGACCACACGACCCCACCCACTCTGTTCGTCCAGCGGATTTGCTAATGTCATAAAAATTATTGGAGAATCCGCTGGATCGAAAGAGACACATCTTAATTAGAAAAAAGCAAAAAAGACATTGGTCCTGGACCTGTTGAGGCTGGGTCTAGAACGGAAAAGGTCATGCTTAAATGTTGCGCGTCATACCAAGATCACATTTGGACACCTAATGCGGGTGAGACCACGTAGGTGCTCGGTGTATGAAGGACTTAAGGAAGGTAGAAAATATAACAGACTGCAAAGAAATTGACCTGTCAGTGGCCTTGAGGCACATCAGCAGGCACAGATCGGTGATTCAGTCTCTAAGAGGCATAACTATTTTTTAATTGTACATAGATCTTTGTACTTTCTTTTATGTGATATGTGTTATTTATTGGAACAAATGTATTTATTTGCGTGAATGGAGGGGCTTATCCCTTAATTTCTCCGAGGAATATCGAGTTGTCTGGGGTGGTTGAACGATTTTTGGTATGTGTATGTAATTTCTTAGTGTGAATGTGAGGTTTATCTCCAATTACCTCGAGTAATATGGAGTATTCTGGGGTTGTGAGTATGAATGTGTGAATGTAATTTATTAATGTCAATAAAGGGGCTTATTTCCATTACACCAAGGAATGCGGAGTGATTTGGGGTAGTGAGTATGAATGTGTGAACGTAATTTATTAGTGTGAATGGAAGGGCATATCCCCAATTACTCAGGGGAATATTGAGTACTACACGAGAGTTCGTTACCGTTAAATTATGAAACATGATAACTTGGAGAATCAGTAAAAGAACTTAGTAGATTTAAACGCGAGAATGATAGGAACAGATATGCGACCAAAGGAAAGAGTGTTGGCGACAACCAATGTAGATTGGCGGCTCTAAATATTAAACAAGTAAACAATTTTTATGGTGGGGGGGTCTGTGGCCGCAACGGTTTAAGAGTTGGCACGCGGCTCATCACTGTAAGGTAAAGGTCCCGGGTTCGAATCCAGCGGCCCTGCATTCGATATACTTACAAATGAGCTTTTTTCCAAAAACACCAGTACCCTAAGGGTTTATATGACCTCCGATGTTGCGAACCCTCGTTAAAAAAAGAAAAAGAAAAACAATTTTTACATACGAAAAAATAATTTTCTATACTCATAATTTTTAATTTTTTATCTTGTATAGAGAACTATTTCTCAATTTTCATTAATTAAATCTTCATTTTTCTTTAATAGCTCATAATAAGCATACTGGGTGTCCGTTTTAGATGGCCCGGATGAATTTCTCTTGAACCAATGAGCTATTAAAAAAATACGTGTTTAATATTTTTAGTTTTGTTTCAAATTTTTATCTTTTTATGAAGAAAAATTACACAAGGTACCTCAGGCCCAGTTCAACTTCAAAATTTCAAATACACGACCATATAAATCCTTGGACATCATTTTAAAAGTTTTTTTTTTTTGATGAGCTACCCTGTACAATTTTTTTCCCAAAAAAGGTAAAAATTTAAAACTGGACTAAAAAATATTAATAACGTATTTTTTTATAGCATTATTAGTTCAAAAGAAATTCATCCATCTAAAAAGGACACCCTGTATATAAAAATTAATATTTACAATAAAATTATTTTATTACTTTGGGGCGAGTTGGGTGACTCTAGTTAGAAGTGCATAGTCTCTTTTTTTTTTAAAAGGGGACACGTTTATGTTCGTTTGTCGGCAAACACAAATCGTCGGACATATGTTAGGACGAAACAGGTGCCCGATAAGGAAGAACGAATCTACCGTTTATCTGTTTTTTAATCCACGGGAGTCATGAGATAAGCCGAGTGCTGAGCTAATAGTTGGGTTTTGTTATTTCCCCCTAGATAAGCTGCAGCTTTTAATAAAGAGGTGGGCAAACAGTCAGCGGCTCGCAGGCGGCAATATATTGTTTGCAAGCCGAGATAAACCTCGTGAAATGCCCGATTTGTTCAACTTCTTCAAAATTGATTCCCCCGCTGACGCCAATTACCAAATGATGGAATGCCTGTTGTTACAACGTGAAACAGGAACTCCCAGGAGTCCTCATCAGTCAACGTTCTCCGAGGCCGGGGAGGACGTCCTTTTTGCATATTTATCGGAAATGGACGTTCGGCCCATTTTGGAAAACAGTGTTCTTTTAATACTAAAAACAAAAATTAAGATGTATTTCATAACCATAAACAAAACTAAATCGATATTTTTCTAAGGTTCATTCCTAATTGTCAAGATATGAAGTAAGTTTTTTACAAATAATTAATAAACAACAATTTTTTGTTTTATTTTCTTTATATATTTTTTAAAAATTTCATATAGTTTTTTATGATACCAGTAACAATATTTACGTTTGCATAAGTATTTATTTATATACTTATATATTTCTTTGTTTGTTGTAGTCCTTTTTCTTTTGTTCTCAAAAAAGTATCTATCTATCAACAATTAAGACATAAAACATAAAAACTAACATAAACATAAAACTAAATCAATATTTTTCTGAGGTTCATTCTTAATTGTTANTATATACTTAGGAAGTATATAGGAAATATTTCCTAAAAAAAGAAATATCTTTAGTATTATTTCATTCGAAGAAGGGGTAGAACATGATAAGAAAATCGATATCCTTTCCCCGAACGTTTTTGAAATGTGTTATTATTTTTTTCACGGGGAATGCTATTTTTCAGATCCACCCTCTTAGGAACCGGCGGAGGGTCGGAACCCCCAAATGAAGATTACAGGTTTCTACTTGTAATTAATTCATTTCTGTCCAGGATGAATATCTCAAACAGAGTTCCCCTTGCGGCTTCTCGCGTTACTTCATTAAACAGGTCCGGCCCCGACCTAACGAGGCCGACTTTATTAAGCGGAAATTCTATACAGTCGATAGTGGCATTTGTCACTGTTCAAGTGCACGTACACTCGGTCGTAAGGAGATTAAAACATGGAACGTTTTTTCTTTATTTTTCAGACTGAGAGAGGAGAGAGGCGAGAACGAACGAGCCCTCGCACTCGACCAAAAGCAACCCAGGGACCTGAGTTTACACAACGGAAATCACTACAACAGTAAGTTTGTTCACTTTGTTAAGTCAATAAAAATAAACAAACAAAACCTACTTCCTTTAATTCAAGGAATTTAATTTCGCTCACTAACAAACAAAATTATAAGACATGATCGATCGTTCTCAATTCACGCCATTTTTGCGATGTTACATTTTTGAAAACAAGTTTACATGAATACATTTTCGATAAAAAAATCTGATTGTCTGTAATTTGGTCGTACCGACAATTTTGGTCTGCCAAAAACTAATGCAGATGGGCTGACGAATTACAGAATCATCGCAGACCACATGGAGATATATGGTAAGATGTTATTAAATTGTTCGTAATTGGTAAATTTAAATAGGTAATATCGAACAATAGTATAATTTGTCTTATTAAAATAATTCAAAACAATAGTAATCATACATACGCGATTATGATTGAATAAATAATAATAATAATTACAATTAATTAAGGTTTTTAGTTGAGATAAAAAAGTCAATGGCACGAGCGGGATTCGAACCCACGATCTTCGGCTAGATACGCCGCTATCGTTTGAAAAATGGCAAAAAGGAGGGAAAATTCAAAAGGTGGGGTTGAGATGTTAAGTTAGTGTCCGAGTGGATCGAGGTCACGATTGCTCAAATGGTAAAGCAGCGGCGTATCTAGCCGAAGATCGTGGGTTCGAATCCCGCTCGTGCCATTGACTTTTTTATCTCAACTAAAAACCTTAATTAACTGTAATATATTAATTGGTCAAGCGGACCGCGAAATTAGTGAATTTAATTATAATAATAATTTTTATTACAAAGACAAATTATAAAATGAAATAAGATGTATTCAATGATTTACAGACATAAATCTTAATTTGGTATAACCAATAGGTCTCCGTGAATAGGACATAAAATAGTATAACATAGGTTTATTTTACATTGGTAATAATCTAAAAACATAATTAACAAAATGTTAAATCTCGGTCTAAAGAAGTCTCGTTTTCTCGCTTGATCGATCATGTATTTATAGTGGGAATTTGGTTTATTTATGGCATTAAATTATTGCTATCAAAATTCTGCACCCTCCGGCCAAAACTGGATAAGTGGAATTTCACTTCAAACGAGATAAGTGTTTATTCCAGTTTTCGGCCTGTCAGACTGTAAAATTGATTAAGTAGAAACCACTTCCTTTTAAACGCAATTTTTTTTTTGGACAACTCGAAACATTTTCATAATTCTACTTGTATGAAAATACTAAACTTGAAAATTGCAATCCTCTAAGGTTGTCCGTTTTGACTTATTCAGTTTTGCCCAGATGTCGCAAAATTAATTGTATAAAAAACGTTTTGTAATCAGTGAGTCATATTTAGTATGAATTTGATTTGAATAACCTTAGCTTCAATTATTTATTTATATACGGGTAATAGCCCATTTTATAACGATAACCACAGAAAAAGACAAAGAAACTGATGTGTGATTTAACATGAGAGACTTCTTACACAGATGGCTTTTGTACTTTTATATTTTCTATTGTTCTACGAGAAATGTGTGATTTTAACAATTAGATTTGATATTTCAAAATAATTAAGCTTCAATTATCGATTCAACTGTCTTTTGGTAACTTTTTTTTAATAATTACTAAAAATTTATTAAATAAAATTACCATCTGCATAAGATATTTAACTACTCTGCCATTTCCATTTACGTGTGGCTTTAATGTTCTACAGAATAGTTTTTAAATTTATTTGTAGGATTTTAAACTCATTACAACTGTAATTTTATTGTAACATTTATTATGAAATGAAATCGGCCATTACATTAAGAAATAATGGACCAACGATAGTACTAAACTCCTAGATTGTCATGAATTTTTGGTACAATAAGCGATCGTTAAACAATCTTCTCAAGCACTTCTCAATCATTCAATTATTTTATTTTTCAGGTTCGTCAAACGGACAGAGCCCGGTCCTCAACCTAAGCAAATCCGTCGGCGAACAGAGTTGTAGCGACGGCGGGCAGACCGGACCCGAAGACGAAGACGAAGAAGACGACAACCCCTCGGACCCTGAGGACGACGAGGAGGACAAAGACCAAGGTAAACAGAGTGCAAGAAATTTAATCAGACAATTTACTTAGTAATTTTTCAAAATAGAATTGGTAAAACCCTGATGATGATGTTGATGGATACTTCGGGTTGTGCTCACCAGGCACTACAGCCTTCTGACGTACCGTGTTAGTTCCTAGTTCAGTGCAATCGACTCAATTCTTAATTAGGTTATTAATTGTCCCTGCTACACTACGGTGACAATGGGTGGTACAGTGTGGCCAGGGCGGGGGTGCAACCTAAAAAGGTGAAACTCGTTTCCTCGGGCACTTCCCTTTCTCAATCCAGATCCTTCGACATTCTTCCTTGAGACCTCCTCAACCCTGGATGCAAAGGGGTTACAAACACAAGCTGGATTCCAGGGTACCAGATCCTGTCTGCATAGACGGGGAGGGTGCATAACCATCTGAACTATCGACTCGTAGTGGCTTAGTGGCGATGCTCCTGGCGAGAACTTAATGTGAACCTGTTGCTCGGGGTACCGTTCGCGGTTTCCGTCCGAGGGCAGTGTTCCTCTAGGGGAAGGTTAGAAATTCCACTTTAGACAAAACCACGGCCGGAGCTGATCCCGTGGTTCTTACGCTGGAGGAGCCCCAATACACGGAGACATAGAGTCGCCTTCTCTATCAAGGGAGCCGGCGGGACGACCCAGGCTGATGAATTTCAGCCACCTGAGGTTACCCTTTGCATTTGAGTTTCTCGAAGTAGAAGTTTCTCAGTGGCTACACTCCTTCATTCTAAAACTTCCCCAATCTTCACTCAAAAAGAACGTCTCGGGGCCACTTTCGCTTCCTTCGTCTTGAAGGATTTTCTGATAGGGTTATAAATGATAGAATATTGTTTATGTTCGGTGAATGATGAAATTTTTTAAATCGGCTTTTGATTGCACAAATGGGATGTGTAGGTCGTTATAACGATGGCTTTTCAGTCTTGCGTGGGGATTCCAAGTCAGTCGACTATCCATGAAAAGTTCGAGATAACGCACAAGGTCAGTGGAGTTCCATTCATATACTCGCTGCAGGACAGATATTTTTACACGTAAAATTTATCTGACGCTTTTCGTTAGGTTTATTTTCATTCTCCACTTTGTGAACGTACTGTTAATTCATATAATTAAGTAAAACAAAAAATTGTTTGGAAAAATCACATGGAAAGGACAAAAAAATTATAAATAAAAAAGACAATAAGTCTTTTTTAAAAACATTCACGTTACAAAGTAAAAATGACGATATAGTTCAGTATTACACTCCGTTATCGACCCGGAAGTTTTCCCGTTGAGGTTTTGATATTATTACGAACCATAATTTTTCTATCAATTAAAGTCGATAACCGTGTCTATTTCTCTTTCCAAGGCGTCGACTGCGCGATACTTAACGGGGCAAGCCGTTTATCCATGTTTAGACAAGTTTACGACAGACTCCTCAACGTGCTTACACCTACATTTGCTGGCATTATCCCTTTCCCATAAAGTAATTAGGCCCGATCGGTTTCAAACTAGTCTGAATGCATGGATATAGAATATGTTCATTAGAATATTGTTATTTAGGAGGACTTAAGTTTAACTTTCAATACTTTATTGATTACTTATCACAAAACTGTCTTTTGTAAGCAACAGTCAAAATTATGGAACTAGATATATAGGTTGTATTGGGTTGTCCGGAAAATAATGCAGGATTTTGGTATTAAACAAAAAAAAAGAAACTAGTTACTTTAAAGCAATGTTCTTTAATCAAAATAATTTCNTACAAATGAGTAATCCTGTAAACGTAAACAGAATATTTTATATAGATTTTTTTTAATGAAAACTTAAAATCCTGCATTATTTTCCGGACAACCCAATACTTTACTGAGTAATAAACAGTAAATTACTGTCAACAGATTTGTTTTATATTTTAAAATTTATTTACTTTTTAACATCTCCATGTTAATTAACGATAGTGCAAAAATTTATTTTACTTGTGAATAACAAAGCATAATGTGAATCCGGTCTAAATGGCCCATAGTGGTTAAAGGCCATTTAACAATAACAAAAAAAAATATTGCGAATATTTTCTCTTTTGAAAGTTTTTCCTTGTCGATATCCATGTTTCTACACTTTTTATCGATGTCCATGTTTTAATATCATTTACTAAGTAGTAAATTATTACTTGCTATTTATGATTTCTTTATACCGTCTGTGCCCAACAAGGTTTATGTGAAATTAAGCTTCTACCAATAACCTCGAGAGTTAATATTAGAATACGATGCCTCCTGCCTTCATTCTATTGTATCAGAAAAGAAATGTGATTTATTGATATCACCATATCATATGTTCATAATACAAATTGTTATTACGTGATTTGATGCCTTAAGAAAATTAAAAATCGCTATGCTAATTACTATATTGTGTTTCATACAACAAAAGCATAGCGGGGCGTCGGTGGCCGCAAGGTTTGTCTTTGACACGGCGCTCATCACTGTAAGGTAAAGGTCCCGGGTTCGAATCCAGCGGCCCTGCAAAAAAAAAAAAAAGCATAGTGTGCGGTGTTTAGTGATCGTAGAAAGACATTTTCTTTATCGTGTCTACGTTTCGATCTTTATTGAGATCATCTTCTGTCTGTGTAGGTGTGTCATTCTTGTGTGTCCTGTTGAAAGTGCATGCATAGTGCTCATATTGCAATTCCTTAGTTTATATAATAATTATAACTTTTTATTGTCTGTAAGCTACTATTTAAAATTGTTCAGCAGCATTAATACTTTTAATTATAAAAAATATATATCTCTTAAGCATAACCTGCTGTATCAGGCAAACTGCTTTTCGCAAAATATAAATTTAGAAGACGCTAGGGGACTGAAGTATGAATCTTCTAAAGATCTTCTAAAGAAACACTGTTTCGGCGGTTTAACTGATCTACCCCAACGCTTTCTCTCTTCAATAACTCGTGGGCCGTTGACCTTTGGAATAGGTTCGAGAAAAGGGAAAAGTACCGCTTTTTGATCGCTTTACGTCTTGATCGGACCCAAAGAGCAAAAGAGGTTTATCGAGTATTTTAAACGAAGGCTATCTTGTTTATTGCGGTGGCGAGGTGGTTTGTGAGATGTAGTTGAGATTGGAACAAGACGAAGACACTGCATTAGCTCGTGCATGGTCAATGAGCCACCCAGGCTAGGCGTGTTCCACAGACAAGTTTATACCTTGCACGGTTCGCAACATCGATACCCGATTAAGTGGGAGAAGAGTTTAAATCAGGCCCAGTCCTCATTTTCCGGGCTAATTGTTCTCGTTGGAAAAAATTTACATAAACACGGTACAAAATTAGCGAAACAGAGCGATCTTAATGGAAGCCTCCCGGGAGAAGTTTCCTCCTTCCGGTTTTTTGAAGAAAAAACCGACAATTATAATAGCTCTAAACACGCATTTATGCAAAACATGGAGAAAAACCGTGTAAGATAGGAAATCTCTGAGAGATCTCAACTAAGGGAGGAACCTCAAATTCCATTTATTCTTATCGATGTTCGTTTAAAATTTCAGATCTTTCGGACACTGGCGAAGGGGTGAACTCGAGCGGAGCTGTGTCGCCCCACGCTCTCAACTATTCAGCAGCCCTGGGGACGACGGGGGGCGGACCCTCGGCCCCGACTTCCGATCCGACCATCTCCTCGACGGAGACCCTTCTCAGGAACATCCAGGGTCTCCTGAAAGTGGCCGCAGATAACGCCAGGCAGCAGGAACGGCAGATCAACTACGAAAAAGGTAAGTCTCTTTAAAATTACCTAAAGTTGCGGTGCTTTAAAAAAAAAAATATTTTGACCTTTCATGATTAAAAAAGCAACTATTTAAATTTACTACATACGCATACAAAAAAATTCAATAATGACACTAATCATAGTAAAAAAAACTACAACAGTACAAAACATTTATTAGCAGACCTGAAATCATTACGCAAAAACATAACATTCACTGCAGAAACTGATTACATCAATAGCATAAACATTCTTCATCTCATAAAAACAAAAACATTCCTATTTTACAAATAATATCAAAACCCAGCAATGAAACTGTTAACAAAAATCAATTACCCAATATTAGGTCGGTTATATAAATCGCGCTGTTTTTCGAACATAACTGGTTTTAAAGTGATGACAGAAAGGTTATTTATTAAATGTTATTTATATAATTAATCACGATTGTTATTTGAGGAAAAAAACATTGTCAGGAGCGAAACATAAACATACATTTACGATTGTTTGCCGATGTATTCGATTTCTACTATTAACAAAACCTGACCTACATTATTTTATGATTTGCAATTGTGACATATATAAACAATATCCTGTAAAAAATAAATCAGATAATAATATAAACTGCTCAAAATTGAATAGGGATATTACCAATTTTGTATTATTTACTTTCCCTAGCATTTCTATTTTATTTTTATTATAAATTGCATTAAAATTTATTAGAAATTGTAATGTTTTTTACTGAAGGAATATTTAATCGGAGGATTTTGAAAAGTAACAAAATAAAAGGTGTTAATTCCATAATTTTCTTTGTTTGACACAATAATATTTTTTAAACAATTAATTCCGTGTATATGTCGTCTGTTAGGCATACTGTTAACATGGTTGTCACTAATTTCAAAGGAATTTCAAACCATAGATGTTGCAACACTGTAGTCAGTTGTTGCAGGTCAACTGGCTGCGGATGGTGATCGAAAAGCCTTCTCGGTAAGGCATCCCACAGATGCTCAGTGGGATTGAGGTCTGGAGAGAAGGGGCAGATATGAAATTCTTAGGTTTTCTAAGCGTTGATGAAGAACTCTGCCTCTATTAAGTCTGGCACTTCATCTATAAATTGAAAATCCTGCCAATGAGATCCTGGTTTGAGCGATATATTCCTCGATAATGTCTTCGACATAACGGACTGCCGTGAGGTTGCCTTCAACAATGTGGAATCCAGTTGTTCTCCAGTGTAAATCCCACCCCAGACACCGCACTGAAGGGAGCACAAACTGGGGCACTATACCCCCCTGTTCTCGGTTGAATCTTCGGAGCCTACTATCACTATTCAGACAGAAAAGGACTCATCATTAAACAAAAAATCATTCCAATCTGTGTTCTCTTCTAGGCGCTCGCTCCACCATATTCTCGTGACTGCTGGCTATTGCTGCAGGTAGTCTCAAGGGCGATGTGAAGCCAATTTCCCATAAATTATTCGGTAATGGCCTTGCTATACCATCTTCTACTTCATTTAGGATCTGACGTCCACTATGCAAAGGGTTCCGTCTTAATAATGACAGTATTTCTGTCCTCCCTTGTCGTAATGCGCTGAGAACCACTACCTACTGGCACTTCTAGTCTCTCAGAATCGGGCTAAATCCCAGGAGACCATGGACTCTGAGAAACGCCAACTGCCTATACGATATCCACCTGCCGGTGACGTCGGTGACTCATTCGCACTATAATTTGGCGAACTTCTGGTTCAAGATGTTTTTTTCCATGGTTAAAGAGAATACAACTGGATTAAAATGAAGAAAAGACAAGATGAGGTGTTTTTTACAAAATGAGTAATCTTCGTGTGGACTATTCTTAAGTAAATCTTATTAAAAATGAGGATTAACATTTGTTTATTTTTGGTTTTCTATTTTGTTTTATTGTTAACAAGAATATGTTGGTTAATTTAATGAAAATTTATAGAATAAGAATAAATTGAGGGGGCGTCGGTGGCCGCAACGGTTTAGGCGATGACACGGCGCTCATCACTGTAAGAAAAGGTCCCGGGTTCGAATCCAGCGGCCCTGCATTCGAACACGACGTACTTACAAATGTTTTTGTTTTTTCAAAAACACCGGCTCCCTGAGGTGATATGACTTCTGCTGTTACGAACCCTCGTAAAAATAAAATAAATTACAAATATTCCTATTCATTTTATAGCAGTTTATGTGTATTAAAAATTATAAATATTCTCTTATGCACATATAAATGAAAAGCTAATGTTATAAATATAAATTTCGATGGGATGTAACATTAACAGTGACAGCAAACTGATATAATTTGCCGTTTTTCTCCAATTCAAGATGACAAGACGGCGCATAGTAAAATCTTATCGTAAAATGGATAATATTACATCTTATGCAAAAAGGTTTTACACCTTCTAATTGCGATGTTTATCTCACAAAAAATCAAGTGAATATTAAGGGGAATTATCTTATCGAGGTACAATAACGTTTTGTTATTCCGGCGGTGGAATAATTAGGCCGTGAAATACTGAGGTGTTGGAGGATAAGTATAGCAATTAGCGGCCGAGAGTGTGAAACTGTGGAATCCCTAGGGATTCTTCAAAAGCGGTCCGATGACTCCTTTTGTTCTTTCCATCGCTCTGCGGTATCCAAGGGGGACGAAATATAAATAAAATTACTAAAACCGGAAAGCAAAGATGTTGTCTAATTACAAATAATAGCGTCGATTTGCCTAATAATGCCAATTCATCTAGATGCTTAGTAATTAATTGGTTGAAAATGGTTTCGTTTTTTTACATTGAGCTGAGAGATTTTCGTAACGTTATTACTTTCTACAATTAACAAAGTTTACGGTAATAGAATAGTTAAACAAAATCGAGATCATACAAAAAGGTAGTTACTAACGTTTGTCTTTATAACATTAACATTTTTATTCAAAGATATGATAATTTTATATAACTCATTGGTTTAAATGGCTTTTCTTTTCAGAGGTAAATAATTAGTTAAAGTCTACGGAGATATGAATATGCTACTGCAGTTATTATGCAATGCTGAAAACAAGTAGTGGTTAGATAAAGCATGCGCTTGCAACTTGCGTTTGCTGAATAAGAGCTTATCTCGATCTCCTTAATTAAACTGGTAGATGAGAATCGAGTGGACAATGGAATGAACGAACCGGCGTGTAATTAAAGAGGGTTAACGTCTCAATTACGAGTGTCCCAAAACCGATAGAAATCGGGATGGAAGATTTGGCGAGAGTCGTGGGGCACCCAGATCTTTATCAGCCGACAACACACGATCAACACGGTAAACGCGACGAACCCGCTTGCCGCCAGTTTATTTTCAACTGGGGCAAATACATTTTCATAACTGTAACCAAATCTTGAGCTTTCGAATTTCGAAACGCCATGCTCCCATTACTGCTGTGGACAATTATCAAACTTGTTAAATTTTTTCGGTGTTTGCGATGCAGTCTAGTCGTTTCCGATCATGTTGGTCCGCCTATATTTGTCTTTTTTTGTACTTAGATGCAAGTAGTATACCAAAGAGATCATGTCTCTCCTGGATCAACGTAAAAACCAGTAGATCAATAGCGCCTATAGTGGTATGAATTTTGTACTCAGGCCTCGTAGACAACATCCCCCCTTATGCTCCAGCATTGTCCTGATGTGCTTGGACGATAGTGCTGTCGATCATCGTGTGTACGTTATCAGTATCTTCTCGTGTAGAAATGTGTAGAGATTAGTGACCGTTAATCGATAGTTATTCAGATATCGTGAGATGCGGTCGGGTGTGATGTAGGTTTCAGACCTACATCACACCCGACCGCATCTCACGATATCTGAATAGTTATCAGTATCCTTTGACGTAGCGTCAAAAACCAGATGCCTGACTTACACCAATGACTAAACTGCGTATGAATAACTCTAAAATTGCCGAAATCGGGAAGTCAGGTAGTACCGGTTCTTTAGAGATAGAGGACAGCATCAATAAACAAACGACATAAACTATCTCTACACCACTCTTTCGTACAAATTATCAGAAGTGCTGGTAAGAGACGTGGGTCGAAATGTCGATGTTCTGCGAAAAAGTTGACAGAAAATCGAAACGAAGCATGATATGAACTTTCTGGATTAAAAATCACAGACATAAACAACAAACTACAATATGACATATGCAGAAAACAGACAGCAACTGACAACCATTAAAACATCACACAAAATGGCAACAGTAAAATACATGACTTACAAACTAAAATCAATCCCACTAACCAAAGACGCGTAGGACAACGAATTAAAAAAAATACAAACCATAGCGCACAATACCGGCTAAAAACACAAACACAAACAAAAAATAATAATCAAAACATGCACAGTAAAACAAATCGCTTCTTCCATTCCAGACCACCTATGAGATAAATCCCTCAATACACCTATGAGGCCAAACATACGAATGTGATAGTTCTTTCAAACAGCAGCACCCTGGGTATTGATATGACCTCTGTTGATGCAAACCCCCCCCCAAAAAAAAATAATAATAATAATAAACGAAAAATGATCTTTATATTTTATTTGATCTTTTCATTTTTATCAGTTTCATAAAACACTCATTCTGCTTAAGTTATTTGGTGTACGATACCTACCTCATGTATTTAAACTGAGATGTTATGAAATATGATATTTGGAGTTCGTGAGATGCGGTCTGTTGTGACGTAGGTTTTAGAAAAACGTCGTGCCAACGTTTCGATCTTTATTGAGATCATCTTCAGGGCTCAAAGTGTTTGTTTTCTGTGTAGATGTGTCATTGTGTCGTTTTGAGAACACACGCACACACACACACACACACACACACACACACACACACACACACACACACACACACACGTTATAAAATATTTTATATTTTACAATAATTGAAAATTGGTTTTTAAAATTTTATGTAATATTTACCTGAACTATTTTTAAAATGTATGTGCCATTAATAGAAACGTATGTTGAATGAAAAAACTGTCATG